CGCAACGGCAGCCGCATCGCGCCCGCAAGTCCACACCGCAGCACTTCGCAGAGAGTGGGAGAACACGCCTTCAAGCCGTGTGAGGACGTTGATGACTTTGCTCTCCATCTCAACACCGCAGTAAGATGGTGCGATTCGGCGATGACACGCGTCGGCGAGGAGAGAGTCGTCGAAAAGCTCTTTCATTGCTGCGTCCCGAAGTATGAGCAGATGGCTCGCTTCGATCGAGTCCCTCGCTGGATCTCTCCACGATGTCGATCGAGGAGGCGATAGAGGTCGCCTCAAGGTCGTCGACACGATGAGCCACGCTCTCTCTCGGGGCCCATCACCACCGGCGGGAAGCTCCTTCTCACTCGGAGCCTTGGCTTGCCAGCCAAGGTGACCGGAAGAAGGGGGAGCCTTCTTTCGCGACAGGCGGTTGCAAGCGTGGCAAGCCACGCAAGGCGCGCAGAGACGCCCAGGCCGGGGCGCGAGGACGTGCCGAGGGTGATGCCCACGGAGGCGCCAGGCGCCACCGCCGCAGCAGTACACAGGTAGCACGCGAGACGACGCTTTGCCAATCGCAATCGCGCGGCCGGCAGCCATTGGGCCAAGGATCGCCGATACCACGACGACGCGCCAGCCCACGTCGCCTGACAAAGCGAGGAGGAGCCGACTCTGTTCATGGCACATGCAAGCATCGAACTACCTCCAGCGGCACCGGACGCAGCGGCTCTCCACCTTGACGAGCCAAAAGCACACGCCCTCCTCGGCGACAGCTCGGCAGAACGACAAGATCGACGGTGGTGCCTCGACACCGGCGCCACCACCATCACATGACCGGTCGACGGAGTTCTTCACCGAGTTTGATTCTAGCGTCCGATGCTCCGCTCAAGTTTGGGGATGCCTCCGCGTGGAGATCAAGGGCGCCGGCTCCGTCATCTTCACTGCATGCGTGTCTCGGTGAGCACAGGTTGCTCACCGGAGTCTACTACATCCCCGCGTTGAGGAACTCTATCATCGCCTTGGGACGGCCGGATGAGAACGGTTCGCGCGCGTGGTGGTTGAGGATGGAGTCATGAGGATTTGGGATCGCCGTCGCCTTCTTGCCAAGGTAACCGAAGCGCAAATCGACTCTCGTCCCTCAACGTGCGGTGGCACAACCCTCTGTCTCGGCCGCTCGTCGGGATGACGAGGCGTGGCGATGGTATGAGCGTTCGGGCACCTTCACTTCGAGGCCCCGGCGGCTTAGTGCCACGGAGATGGTGCGAGGTCTGCCGTGCCTCGACCATGTGGGAGCAGCTCTGCGACGTCTGCGTGTTGACGCGCAGCAGGTGACTCCCCTTCCCCAATGGGCGAGCTTCGAGCCAAGGAGAGGCTCGAGCTTGTGCACGGGGACTTGTGTGGCCCGGTGACACCGCCCACCGGAGAGACGACGCTATTTCCTGCTTTGCTTCGTCGACGACCTCTCCCGCTACATGTGGGTGATGGTCCTCGACAAAGAAGGGAGGTCATGGGGCGCCATCGAAGCTCACAGCTGCAGTCGCCATGGAGGCGAGAGCGCGCCGCGCCGCAAGTCTTCGCGTCTTCAGACCGACAACGGCGGCGAATTCACGGCGGCGGAATTCGCTGCGATCATCTTTCACGACGACGAGGGCATTCAATACCACTACTCCGCGCCATACAAAGCAGCAGTAATCGGCGGCGTCGTCGAGCAGCGCAACCAGACGGTTGTGGGGATGGCTCGGGCCCTCCTCAAGCAGAGGGGGATGCCGGCTGTCTTCTGGGGAGAGGCGGTGGTGATGGCCGTCTACATCCTCAACCGCTCGCCTACCAAGGCGCTTGACGGCAGGACGCCGTACGAGGCTTGGCATGGGCGTAAGCCGGCGGTCTCCCACTTGCAAGTCTTCGGCTGCCTCGCGTTCGCCAAGGAGCTTGGCCACATCAGCAAGCTCGACGACAGGAGCACTCCAGGAGTGTTCATCGGCTACGCGGAGGGCTCGAAGGCCTACCGCATCCTCGACCCGAAGACACAGCGTGTGCGCACAGCGCGCGACGTTGTGTTCGACGAAGGGCGAGGATGGGCGTGGGACAAGGCAGTGGACGACGGCTCGGCTCCGACGTACGACGACTTCACTGTCGAGTACGTCCACTTCTTCGGCGAGCGCGTCTACCCCAATCCCCGAGCCTCCACCGACCCCGGCACCTGCTACTCCGACAGCACCACGCTCTCTAGCCAGGACCTCGGCTGCGATGAGTTCTTCGCCGGCTCCACCACGGTAAACAACGCCACGCACTCAAAGACCGACAGCACCACTCGGCACGTCTACCCCCACCACCACTGTTCGTGTCGAGCACGGCCCGCTGAGCTCGCTACTCGCTCTCTCACGATGAGGAGCTGCGCGTCGCTGCATACCACGACGGCGCGAGCCGTTGCGGTACCGTACGCTAGAGAACCTTCTCGGCGACCAGCCGGTGCCGGGACCGGTGCCTCACGACCTGGAGGCGCAGTTGCACCTTGCGTGTGACGACGGCGAACCTCGGTCGTTTGCAGAGGCCGAGAGACGCGGCATGGCGCACCGCGATGCAGTTGGAGATGGATGCGGTTGAGAAGAACCGCACCTGGGAGCTTGCTGACCTTCCTCGTGGTTACCGCGCGATAACCCTTAAGTGGGTGTACAAGCTGAAGAGGGATGAAGCCGGTGCCATCGTCAAGCACAAGGCTCGCTTGGTGGCACGAGGCTTCGTGCAAGGCGGAGGGTCGACTTAGACGACGCCTTTGCTCCCGTGTGGCACGGATGGAGTCCGTGCGACTCCTCCTGCGCGCTTAGCGCCCAGGAGGGTCGGGCGTGTTCATCACATGGACGCCAAGTCGGCGTTCCTTAACGGCGACTTGAAGGAGGAGGTCTCGTGCACCACCGCCGGGATTTGCGATCCCCGGCAAGGAGGGCAGGTGCTCGCTGCGCAAGGCCCTCTATGGCTTGGGCGACCGCCGAGGGCGGAATGCCAAGTCGGATTCCACGCTAAAGGGGATGGGCTTCGAGCAAAACCCGCACGAGGCGGCCATCTACCGACGGGGCAGTGGAGGAAATGCTCTGCTGGTGGGTGTCTACGTCGACGACTTGGTGATCACCGGCACCAAGGATGCGGAGGTGGCGGCATTCAAGGAAGAGATGAAGGCCACCATCCAGATAAGTAACCTAGGACCTCTCTCTTCTACACCGGGATCGAGGTGCACCAGATGACTCGGATCACGCTTGACGCACCATCGCTTCGCCAAAGCGCCGTCGTTGAGCTAGCCGGGCTCACCGATCGCAACCCAGCTCTCACTCCGATGGAGGAGAGGCTGAAGCTGAGCCGCGACAACACGGCGGAGGAGGTGGACGTTACGCAGTACCGGCGTCTTGTGGGGAGCCTTCGCTACCTCGCCCACACACGGCCGGACCTGGCATTCTCCGTCGGCTACGTTAGTCGGTTCATGCAGCGACCGACAACGGAGCACCAAAGAAGTCGTGAAGAGGATCATCCGCTACGTTATGGGACTTTCGACCACGGCCTCATCGCCTAGGTGCCCTGGGGCGGCACACTTCGTCGCTTCTGCATAATGACCACGTCGGCGACAATGACACCAAAGAAGAGCACGAAGGGATCCTCTTCTTCCTCGGCAAGTGCCTCGTTAGGCAGCGATTGGTCAAGCAGCGGTGGTGGCCTGTCCAAATGCGAGGCCGAGTACATAGCGGCCTCCACCACTTCGACTCAGGCGCTCTGGCTCGCTCGACTGCTTGGTGATCTCCTCGGCAGAGACACTAGAGCGGTGGAGCTCAGGGTGGACATCAAGTCCGCTTTGGCCCTAGCAAAGAACCCCGTCTTCCACGAACGCAGCAAGCACATCCGGGTAAGGTACCACTTCATCCGAGGCTGTTTTGAGGAAGGGAGCATCAAGGCGAGCTACATCAACACCAAGGACCAGCTTGCGGACCTGCTCACCAAGCCTCTTGGGAGGATCAAGTTCCTTGAGCTCTGCTCCAGAATCGGGATGGTTCAACTTTTCCACAAGACGACGCACAAGACTTAGGGGGAGAATGATGGATAAGTCTCTGTGGTTTTTTTTTTTGTGGGGATGGGGGCTGCAGCTGTGCTCCTTGTGGCTGCATGGTGAAGGACAACATCCTTGACTGGTCCTTGTGGTCTTGCTGCCCAAGGACAGCACAGCACCCTTGACTAGCATCTTAGCATCTAGGACTAGCATCTAGGACAGCATCTTGGCATATGCTTGGCTAGCTAGCAGTCTATAAATATGTATCCCCAACCCCTTAGGTTGGCATGGCATTTGTGTGAGTTTGTGTGAGAAATAAACCAGAAAATTGCCGCAACTCCTAGTGTCATCCTCTCTCGATGAGAGTAAGAATTATGCTACTACCGAGAGTGAGAGTTCAACGACTAACAAGAAAAGAAGGAAGTCTGTATTTACAATATTGTGTATCATGTTCTTTTCAATTTCTTTGATATAAACCTCAAGCTAAGCATCATTTGTTCAGTGCTGAAATGAGAAATTACAACATGAGAGTAGGCTGGCCTTGTCATTAAGAGTTAAGAGAACAACTGAGGCTAACTTTGTGCATATATGATGTGTTCACTCGATCAAGTGTGGTTTGTTTCCGCCCTGTAGTTATGCTATCATTGCTCTATTAGGTTAGGTCTCTGTGTTCATTTTTCATATGCATATTTCTTCAGTTTATCTTTGTTGCAAAAGGCCTGAATGTATGCTTACTTATGCAATGACTCAACATACATGTGATGTGTGTGTTTAACCAACTAAGCTAGTGTAGTTGTGCCACTCGTTGAACTGCTGCTGTATACAGCTCTGATGTTATTCAAATTCTTGCAAGTAGTATGGTGAGTTTAGGATTGTCAATTGGATCTGACTGGGATTGCATTAGCTTTTGTACCATGATGTGCTCTTAGCATGTTTGTAACGAATATACTGGAATTCTTACCATTTTAGTTATGTCATGCTGCAGGGTCATTCTTGTACTTTTCCTCATGGAGCATCTATCAATAACAACCGGCTATGCGTTGAACATCAAAGATGTTCTCGGAGCTCCACCCAGACCTATGCTCTTTCTAGGAAGGATTTTTCTCCTATAACTCAAGATGTGGAAGGCTTCCTTCACAATGTTGTTAACATGGGATTTCTTGACCGTCTGAAATTAGCGTGGAAGATAATGTTTCCTGCACCAACCATAAAGGATACCTCCAATGCCAACATCGCAAAACAGAGGCTTAAGATGATCCTGTTCTCCGACAGGTGTGAAGTCAGTGATGAAGCAAAGAAAAAGATTGTGGAGCACGTCATTGAAGCATTGTCTGAGTTTGTTGAGATAGAATCAAGGGATAACGTCCAAGTGGATATCTCAACCGATGCTGGCCTTGGCACCGTGTACTCTGTGACAGTTCCCGTGCGCTGTGTGAAGCCAGAGTACCAGGAATCTGAAGAGCAGTACAGAGGGAAAATTGTCGGTGTCGACTTCAAGGACACCGGAGAATCATCAGGGAACGTTGATGTCACCTTTGACTTCTTTGTACCCAATGAGAACTACTAATTCCTTGTGCTTCTGTCAGAGTGTGGTCTGAAATGTTTCATTTGTTCGTTGCGTTTGTGAACCCTCTAGGTAGAAAGCTAGAATGTTTTGTTCTCTAGAGTGATGTAAATATGTAGGATCCCTGTTCGCTCCACATTTCCTGTAATTTGGTTCTGGAATTTTGTCGGAGACCTGCAGTGGCAGGTTCTTTGCAAAACTAAAATTATGTTTTCGTTGTTGAGAAAATAATGTCCAGTTGCTGTCTTCACCACTGTATATGCCATTTTCAGGGCTGCTGTTTGTCCTACTTGTTTAGGTTCCATAATCCATGCTCAACCTTATCTTGGCATTACTTGATACCCAATTCTTGGGGAATACAATGCTGTTCAAATTCTTAGTATAAAAGGATGGCATATTGGCATGAGCTTCGGAATGCACAGGTCAGGTGCTACTGCCGCAAAGCTAAAGATGTAGTCATGTAGGTTACTCATCTTCCAGATGATGTTTGTGTACAAGCAGTAGCAGCACAGATTGTTCAGTGGAATTATCAAATATCGTTAGCATATCACTTAATCAGACAAGACTTCAAATTGAGCATTCAAATTCCACCTACTTACAGGCAAAAAGAACAGCTATCTAAAGAAGCACATGCATGACTGACGAATCCTCGCTGATACATTTCAAAACAATTTACGAGACTTGGATTCTGGAATTTTGTTGTGGACCTGTGGCGGCAGTTTCTTTGAAGACTATTCTTGTTTCCATTCATGAGTACCATTTTCGGGGCTGCTGTTCTCCAAAACCGTCCAGGTTCCGTACTGAACTGTTGAAAAGCTGCTGAATGCATGGGTTTCTGAACACTCAAGTAGAGTAGGCAAAGCGAAGTTCTCCTTAGGCGTTCAAGCAGCTGAGTGACAATAGCTCAGCAAAATTATCAAAAATCATTTACATGATTTGGGCATTGAATTCCAGCTAATTACTATCTGAAAAATGCATATTCGAACTACAACGATATGAGAAAAAACACAATAGTTTTTCACAAACCATTACTGCTACATATGAAAATAATGTAAAGCTCTGGACCTTCAGATGTTCAGTCTTCCTGCCAGAAGCTTGGCAGGCACTATCCAGCCTAGTTCGACTTGGAGACTAAAATTCTACTTCTGTTTTACAGAGGATGATTACAAGGAGACTGCAACCTCACAGTTTGGCACAAATAGACTGTGGCCTGTTAGACTTAGACCACACATGCACCAGCCCTTTACTGTTGCCGGTATAGAGTTCGTTCCTCTCCTCGTTGTACAACAGTGCCGTGACATCCTCCAGCGCTTCTGAAACGCTGCTCTGGACCAAGGACCGCTTGCTGTTACTGTTACTGTTTCCGCGAGGGACGACGCTGAGGTTGTTGGCAGACAACTTAGTAACGCACTTGCCCGTCATGATCGCGCTCGCGTTGATGGATCCAAATGGAGTAACTGCAGATGACACTTAAGTCAGGATAATAATCTCCCAAATGTTTCAACAAATTAAACCCAAAGGAGAAATCCTATTGTATGCTCCAAGATCATGATTAATTGAATGATGCAAGTAAACACTGAGGAAATGGTCAGGGTTTGAGTACTGCACCTGTACCATCCTCAGCCACTGCTTCAGATTTGCAGTATGAGATAATAAGATCCTGATCGCTAGTGATGTAAATATTGTTGGTGCTACAATCATGATGCCAAAGCAAATGGTCTTCAAATGAAGTCACAAGTTCTCCTCGGAAGTTCCATACAGCGACCGTTCTGTTTCGGAATGTCAAGAAGAGATTGTTCTCATATATAAAAATGAAAGCTGAAGGGGTCATAAACTTGGTGGCACTAACTTCAATTAGCTCAGAACTCCACACCTTGATCACAACACAGAGATGTCAAATCATTAAGCTTGAGGGATGTAAGGGCTACTCTAGGGCAAAAAAAATAAAAATAAAAAAATAAATAAATAAATATATATATATATATATATATATATCACTAATGAACTATGCCATACATCAATTATCTGAAGGTTCTCGCCCTCTTGCTTGACAAGGAGCTTCTCATTCAACTGCTCAATAAAATTAATTTTCTTGTTGGGGTGCAACCAGAGCTTAACAGATTTCAGTGGCTTCCCATCTTCAATTGATAATATCTTCAATGGAACATGACTCAGGGCTCTATCATATATCAAGAGAATGGTTCCTTTACTGAAATAAGAAATTAACAAGTCATCCTTTGGCCCCCTAAAATACAGTAAGATAGATAAATCCGAGGGAAAGAATGCAAACCTCATCTTTATATCCTGGATGTTTTCATCCGGTATTGAGTATAGAAAGGAATAGTTCTTCAAGTCAAAGACCTTATAGATACTGCAGATAAAAGGACGACCGGTAGATAAAAATTGTTGCGAAAAATACCATTTAGTGCAACAAACTGTTTAAGGAGGCATACCCATTAGTTGCTGAACATGTGAGTACTTTGCCATTTACATCATCGAACTCCACAAATCCAGGCCACTTAAAACTTTCTGATTCAAATAGAGGAAGCCCGGCATCTAACTGATTTCTTCTTATATACCTTAAAGAACATGAGCCTAAGGACATTGGTAAGTTGTTGCATGGTTGAAGAACAAATCAATTCAATGGGCGCTTGGATATTTCATATATAGGAGTAGGACTGAGAAGAAAAACAGTAAATTACATAAAACACAACATCCAGTGGGTTCTTCTTGAAAAGTCACATACAGCGTTGGTGCGTCACACTGAAAGTTAAGAGAAATATATGTGGAGCATATGTGCTTACTCAATCGGTGTCGTTCGACACTTCATTGTGCTGTAACTGTCATATGCATAAACTGACACAGTAATGAGCGAATCGTTGCTCTTGTTGTAGAAAAGGCTCCGGAGCACTTCATCTGGGCTTATGTTCAAGAAGGCTATGCGCTTGCTTGATACTGCAGACAGAAAACAAAATGCAAAGGCAGAGGACAGATGACAGAATACAAACATATTTTTTATCAGATTGTGTCATGGACAAAGCTTCATCTTGAGGAAACCTACTTTGGTTAAAAGCAGCACCAAGCCCAGATTGAGCAATGGCAAATATAATATCCTTTGCTGCAATAATCTCAACAATTTTGGATCTCTTTTTAAGGTAAGGTATTTCCACAAATAGGTCAGTGTTGTCATCATACATATCAAGCTCATCCTGCACCAAACGGAGAAATATAATGTTAGGGCTAAATAAATACTCCAAAATGGTTCGTGGCTGAAGGAACAACTAATTAATCTGGCTTTTTTTTTTAATTCAGCTCAGAAGAACACGTACGACCTCAGTAGTTGTTCTTCCTAAATACGTACATGAGAATTTTGTACATTGCATGAGAACAAAACCTCTAGTAGATAATCCAAATCGAATGGATACATCAGCAACACGATACGCATTTTGACTTTGTACTGAGCGCACAATTGAGCAAAAATGCAAACGAGAACCAGGGCCCAGCATTGACAGCTGCAAGTCTCTCTGTCGAACGACTCAATAATCCTAAAGCCCCAATTTGTAATTGTAAGCGAGAATAAAATTCAGTTTCGTTTCCAAGATTGACAATGGACTAGGTAGCTAGCCATACTTGCCAAAAAAAAAACAAGAACTGAAACCCTGCACAACAGCATCGATCAGCGGAGGTGGGGGACGGGCAGGTGGTCCGTTTACCTGGAGCTGCATGTTGCGGAACCTCTCAGCCATCGCCGGCCGCCGTTCAGAAGCAGTTGCGATGGATGTGCGAGCAAGGAAGATGGCCCTGCCGGCTGCCGCCCTATATATCTGAGTTTGTTGAGATCCAACCCACCGGGATGTGTTCGGGCCTCGGGGTTGTTTTTTAATATATAACGAAAATTCTCGCTAAAAACTATAGTAATAAAAAACCTAATCAAAACTCCTGATACCTAAATCATGTTTATATATTTTAGAGATCCAAACAACCACGAAAAGTACAGATGCAAATGCAGTGGAGGCAAATCGAGAAACCTGCATTGGATAAAAAGCCGTGCTATGTGTTATGATTTTTTTTTTCAGCACCAGACAGAAACCCAAATAAATCGTCCAATAAATAAAACCCCATTATATTATACAGTATATGTTTAATGACACAAGGCCAGAAGCTCAAACAAACTTCGAACCCAACGACGACTTCCATCTACCAGAGTGCACTTCTGCAATGCTTTGGGGCTTTGGGCAGAGCTAGGACGGTCTCTGGAAAATGATCCCTGCTCGCTCCACATTTTCATCTAGTAGTTTTTTTGTTTTAGAGCTGGCAGCAATCTGTAATGCCACCGAGTTGTAGCTCGGATGGTGCGCTCTCCACGTGTGGACCCACCGGGGTCTCTTCCCAAAGGTGTGTTTGGCAACTACTCCCTCCATCCCAAATTATCTCTCGCTTTTGGTTTCGGTGTCGCAAGTTTAACTCGATTTGTAGAAAATACGTGCAACATTTATATCTCTAAATAAATTTATTAAAAAACTAGATTCAAAGATCTTTCCAACGATACCAATTATGTATCACAAATATTAATATTTTTTAATACATATTTTGTCAAAGTTGTTTTTCGGGAAACGAAAACGACAGATATTCTGGAACGGATGGAGTACATGGGAAGAGGCATGGGAATTAGTGGTGGGAGTTGAGAGAGGGAACTAAGGTGTGAAATTGACTTTTTATTTATAATCCCTTGTTTGGTTCGTGGAGGGAAATAAGAAAGAGGATTGAGGAGGGAATTCATATCCCTTGTTTGGTATGGGGATTTTTGAGGGAAAAATTAAAAGGCAAATCATGATGGACGGTAAAGATCTACTTTTCTTTTATTATGAACACAACTCTCACCCAATTTCCACCCCTCCTCTAGGAAATTGATTAGTGAAAGTTGATCTTCTAAACTCCCCTTCCATTCCCACGAAACAAATAAAAGATTTCTATACTCCCATTCCTTTCTTTCAATTACCCACAACCAAACGAGACGAAAAGTAAATTTACAGGTCCTGCACGTACGCGTAGAGGCACAATGGTAGTGCGTCGTGCTTGTCACTTAGCCCATGAGACTTTGTCGATGTCTAGAAGGACGCGTGGTGTGTGTATAGATTGTAGGTCTAGCGTGCGCTCAGAGTTACATCAGCGTTCGTGTGGGGGTGTATAAGTGTGTTTGAGCGTTCAGATACTACTACAGCTATACCTTAGTAGTCCAAGCTAAAAAAAAAACACCATCATGTTGCTGTCTAGCATCAGCCATTTTCCAGGCTGTACATTCGCGGTTGTTTGCCGTTTCTGTTTATATATCCATATACTGAGATTACTTGATACTAGTATTATTCCTGAGGGCGAAAATATGGTGGATTTCTTCCATACATTTCAGAATACTGAGGCCAATCAGGTACAGATTAACCCATAATTAAAGGTGGATCATCCAAGGCTTCAAAAACAATTATTCAGCAGCTTACAGACAACCATAACTAAAAGAAATTGCAGTTCTGACAACAATGCCATCAACAGAACACAATCATTTCGCAAATCCCTACTGTTACACATGAAAATAACAATAACATTCAGGTCAGAGCTCCAGATCTTCACTATCTTGCTGCCAGAAACTTGGCTGGATGTATCCAGCAAAGTTAGATTTGGAGGCTGATTTCTGTTACTTGAACAAGGTCGATGAACAAAAGATATTTACAAGAACACTTTGCATTCACAATTGCTCAAGGAAACACATTCTATTGCCAGATACAAAAGCTAGGTGGAGCCCCGAGCCGGGGATTATACAGAATGCAGTCAAGCTAACCAAGTCAAACCAAAAGGGCGAAATGTATGCACATGTTACTATCTAGTTAGACCATACATGAACCAGTCCATGACTGTTGCCGGTGTAGATCTCATTCCTGTCCTCGTCATAAAACAGTGCCGTGACGTCCTCCAGAGCTTCTGGAACGGTGCTCCAGAGCTTGTTGCGACCATTTCTGCGAGGGGCCGCACTTAGGGCAGGATCATTGGCAGTAATCTTGGCGATACACTTGCCAGTCATAATCTCGCTCATGTTGATGGATCCAACTGGAATAACTGCACACGACACCAGTGTCAATATTATTTCCTGCTGATAGTACAAATCAAAGGAAGTTTCTATAATCCAGTTCACATTTATGATCTGGTCATATTCATGATCTTGTAATGGTGCCTGACATCTATCAGCCTATATTCAATGTTGCAATCATCCAGCATGTTGAGATCTGAGGCTAGTTGAAGAGGCCAGTATATAAAAAAGAAAAATCCCACTTGGGAAATCTAAATAAACAGTGCAAACTAAATACTGAGGAAATGGTCAGGGTTTGAGTACTGCACCTGTACCATCCTCAGCCACTGCTTCGGATTTGCAGTACGAGATAATAAGATCCTGATCGCTAGTGATGTAAATATTGTTGGTGCTACAATCATGATGCCAAAGCAAATGGTCTTCAAATGAAGTAACAAGCTCTCCTCGGAAATTCCATACAGCAACTGTTCTGTTTCGGAATGTCAAGAAGAGATTGTTCTCATACAGAAAAATGAATGCTGAAGGGGTCATAAACTTGGAGACACTGACTTCAATTAGCTCAGAACTCCGCACCTTCAAAACACAGACCATAAAATCATTAGGCCCTCAAACAGTAAGGATTACAGTAAGAAAAATAAAATTCCGTCCATAAACTACACCATACATCAAGTATCTGGAAGTTTTCATCCTCTTGCTTGACAAGGAGCTTCTCATTGAACTGCTCAATGAAATCAATTTTCTTGTTGCGGTGCAACAAGTGCTTAAAGAATTTCAGTGGCTTTCCATCTTCAATTGATAATATCTTCAATGGAACATAACTTGGTGTTCTATCATATATCAAGAGCATGATTCCTGGACTGAAATTAAAAATAATAACAAGTCAACATTTGGACACCCTGCCCTTTACCTCTTTCTAAATTACAGGAAGATAGATATAAGCGACGAAAAGAGCACAAACCTGATCTTTATCTCCTGCACGTTTTCATCTGGTATTGAATATAGGAAGGAGTAGTTCTTCAAGTCAAAGACCTTATATATACTGCAGATAAAAGGATGAGCATTACAACAATATTATTCTGATAAACACCATTTAGTGGATGAACTGTTAGAATGCATACCCATCCTGCGCTGAATATGTGAGTACTTTTCCATTCACGTCATCAAACTCAACAAATCCAGGCCATTTCAGAGACTCTGATTCAAAGAGGGGAAACCCAGCATCTAACTGATTCCTTCTAATATACCTGTAAGAACATTTAAATAAAAATTATATATTAGTTGATGCCCAGAATTTTAGTAAGCTGCATCATTAAAAAGATTAATTACACTAAAAGGATACTTATCCATATGGTGTTTCATGAAAAATCGGGCATCACAGAGAAATATAAGAGAAATTTCTGGAGCATGCTTTCTTACTCAATCGGGGTTGTTCTGCACTTCAATGTGCTGAAATTGTCAGATGCATAAACTGAAACAGTAATAAGGGAATCGTTGTTCTTGTTGTAGAACAAGCTCCGAATCACTTCATCTGGGCTCAAATTCAAGAAGGCTATGCGCTTGTTCGTTACTGCAGACAAAAAGTACAAAGACAGGTCAGAAGACAGCATTTATTTACTCCCTCCGTGCACAAAAGAATGCAACTATGGGATTTGTGCAAGTCAAACTAGCTTAACTTTGACAAAGTTTATAGTGAATAGTATTAATATTTATGTCTACAACTAGGTTTATTACGAAAATATATTTCATAATCAATTTAATGGTACTTATTTTGTATCATAGATGTTAGTACTTTTTTCTATAACTTTGGTCAAACTTTATATCATTTGATTCCTCGAAAAGAGAGAATTGCAGTTTGTGGACAGTGGGAGTATCAGATTGTGTAACATATAAATCTCATTTTCAGAACACCTACCACGGTTAAAAGCAGCACAAAGTCCGGAATTAGCAAGGGCAAATATGATATCCTTTGCTGCAACAATCTCAATAATTTTGGATCTTCTTTTGAGAAACTGCAGCTTCACAAATAGGTGAGCATTGTCATCATATGTATCGAACTCCTCCTGCACAAACAACAGATTATGATGTCAATGCTAGATCCAATGAAACAGTTCATGGCAGAAGGAACAACTAATCCAACTTTTTAACTAACTCAACACATGTCTGGATTCAATAATTCCACACACTGATAATAGTGTCACTGTTCCTAGATGCTGCAACCCCACCCACATTTTTTACCCAAAAATCCAGTACAAACAGTCAATTGAACTCTTCTAACAAGCCCACAATTGAACAAAGATATAAACATAAACCAGGAGTCAGCATTGAGGCACCTCAACCATCTGAAATCAGTAATGCTACTGTTTTTCCTTGGATTTGTGTGACAAGGATCACATGAATCATACCAATTATAAAACAGTACCAAGGAATAGGAAGGATATATACAGGGAGTGGATGATAACTAGCTCAACCAATTTATATACAACAAATTTACAGCCCATAGTATATACAGAGGGAGCATTAGGAATTATCAGACCCCAAGATCCAATCCTATGCGATTTGAATATCTACAATCTCAATAACAACTTGATCCAAACCCCTGAGAATTCAGGAAAGGCGTTTACAGAATATCAAAATGGTAAGATGTACACACCTTGAAGGTTCAATGCAGGTCATTTCACATTTGTCATTAACAAGCATTAGTTTAAATTACAGACACCAAAACCAAACAGCCTAAAAGCCCAATCCAAAAGCCCCAATTCTGAACAACAACTTCAGCTATTAGATTCCAACAGCTTACCGCCCCAAACCCAGCAATGCTGCACACACAAGAAGAAAGAGCCTTGAAACTGAAAGGCATCGCATTTGCCTGAAAGACGGGCCCTTTCGCAAGAAAACAAACAATTGGGGGAATCCACAAAACGTAATGTTTCTCCTCTCTCCGGAACAAAATTTGCCGCCTAGCACAAACGGGACACGTAAGAAAGAACATTTCCCAGCTACAAGCACCCGTCATTCCCGCCAACTTGACCCCACGCGCCACCGACACCGGCGCATAACCCTAGCTTGACCGCCGCCCTCACCGGACACACCAACACCCCCAACCCGGAGGGACAGCGAGCGCACGGATGCCCGCGGCGCCGCTACGTACCTGGAGCTGCATGTTGCGGAAACGCTCGGGCACGGCGGCGGCGGGGCCGCCGCCGCGCGCGGCGAGCTGGCGGCCCCCGATCTCGCGGCGCTGCAGCTTGGCGGCGGAGTTGAGGACGGGGGCCTCCATCCGGCGCTTCCGCCCGCCGGTCCCGGCCGCGCCCCCGGCGCCGCCGCCGTCGGCGCCACGCCGGCGCGCTGTGACGCGGAGGCGCACCCGCAGCTGCGAACGCTTCGGCCCGTCCATCCACCACCCGCCCGCCTCCTTCTCAACCTCCCGTGCTGGATCTGGGGAGGACCCGCCCAGAGGAGGCAGGCCGCGGTGGTGGTAGGGAGCTAGGGTTCGGGAAGGAGGTCGCCGGGTCGGGGTCGAGGAGGGGAGAGACGAGAGAGAGGGAGGGGATGGGGACGAAGGGAAAAGGTTCAGGTGGTTGTGGAGGGGAGAGAGAGACGGGGGAAAGGGAAGCCATGTGCCCGTGGCAATGTTGCGCGAGTTGGTGGGGTCCACATGGCAGCCAGACACGGTGCTTAATGTTTTTTTTTCGTGGTCACTACGAACGATTCAGGATTCAAACAAAAAAGTATGGGTACGTTTGATCATGGCTAAAGTTTTTAGATTTAATTTATTTAATAAAAGACTTTTATTATACCTCTGGCTCTCTGTTCAGCATTTTACTACGTGGGTTCTATGAGAAGAGGGTGCAGCAGTTGCAGCTTTAGGGAGTGTTCAGCTGCTCGTAAAAGCCAGCTTATAAGCTGGCTTATAAGCCATGGATCCATGGTACAGTATTTTTCTCTCCTAAAAATTTAGCCATACAAATCAGCATAAGCGGCTTTACGACCAGCTGAACAGATCGTGGCATGGCCATAGCCCATAGCATGAGAAGCGCGGCGACAAAAAGGGCTCTGTGCGAGACGGGTACGGCAGCACGGGATGGTCACTAGTGGGGGAGTAAGGTGGTTTGGCATGGCGACGAGAAGAACCACGTGGTTCTAGGAGTTATACGAGTGGGTGACTATGGAAAGAGATGAAATACAGGAGGTAAATTTATCTTTTGGCCATAGGAAATAAAACTTTAAACCCCTTCAGCTTACTTTGTGGTCAAATGATCTAATGGGCTTTTGGGTGGTTGACAAAAGTTTAGACATTATTTTAGACCACATTTTTAGAGCTCAAGAGCTAAAGTTTTGTGAGATTTAGACCGCAACGTGCACTGAGAGAGTTATATGTAGGACAAAAGGTTTATGGTCCCTGCCAATTGAAAAACCCATCAATCAGCAAATAATTTGATGGCTAAAGTTAATCTGTTACTACTTAAAATATCTGTTAAGGTTTCGTCCGCCGAAAAACATCGTGTGCGCACTTCCGTGGACCACAGACCAACAGCGCTTCCTGGTCCTCGGCTTATGAGCCAAGTTCACAGCGTAGCACTATCCCTTTTACGATCATCATCAAGATTCAAGATCATGAGTTTAAAATTTGTATAGGTCCAATGTTTTTTAATATATTGTTTACAAAATATATATAAATCTCTTATATGGATAGATTCTAATGAGACCTCCCGCAACAAGCTCGGCAAGTACCAGGCGCCGGTGACTTGATGCATGGTGGCTGGCGTCCATGCATGTCTGTTTTGTAAGGATGACGTCATTAGTCTCCTTTTTCCTTTGTGAAATAAAAACCAAAATACAAACATACATACATACATACATACATACATACATACATACATACATACATACATGCATGCATACATACATGCATGCCAGAATTCTTCTTAGCTGTTCATTACGATTTGTGGCCGAGGAATACACAACACATATCCCTTTATTCATGGCTCTGGAACCACAGACCAGCAGCACTTCCTGGTCCTTGGCTTATGAGCCAAGTTCACAGCGTAGCACTATCCCTTTTACGATCATCATCAAGATTCAAGATCATGAGTTTAAAATTTCTATAGGTCCAATGTTTTTTACTATATTGTTTACAAAATATATATAAAATCTCTTATATGGATAGATTCTAATGAGACCTCCCGCAACAAGCTTGGCAAGTACCAGGCGCCGATGACTTGATGCATGGTGGCTGGCGTCCATGCACGATCACGCGGACGTGAGGACACGTGACGTGCCCGGCAAGGCGGCAAGTACCAGGCACCGGTGACTTGATGCATGGTAGCTGGCGTCCATGCATGGCCACGTGGACGTGAGGACATGTGACTGTGCCCGGCAAGTACCACGCACTGGTCACTTGATGCATGGTGGCTGGCGTTCATGCATGGCAACATGGACATGAGGACATGTGACGTGCCCGGCAAATACCAGGCACCGGTGACTTGATGCATGGTGGCTGGCGTACATGCATGGCCACGCGGACATGAGGACATGTGATGTCATATTGACCGTATATGCACGCGGTAATAAGCATTAGCTCATCGTCTCGTTTAATCCGTGGCTCCGTGCAAAGCACGGACATATATCTAGTAATTGAAAAAAACACTAACCAACCACCAAACTTATGGCTAAAACTAATAAATTGTACATAAACAAATAAACAACACATTAGTACTACGATGGCCTTGTGAGCTTTTTTCTTCAAGCTATGCCATTGTTAGTGTGGTCCGAGTAAGACTACCCATAGCGTTATTGGTGCTGAAAGCAAATGTCAGTACGCCACCTCGTTCCAATGCCAAGAATTATATATGTTCACAATGTTGCATCGATGCTTTATTGTTGTATACATGGGACCCAAATCCTCCTTCCTTCTGGATTCCTTCATGCGTGAACTGTGAACAGTCGGCTAAAATATACTTCTTTATTGTTTGAGCATCGAGGAACCAACATGCATCGATGTCGACATATTTTGTTTGAGCATCGCCTCCTTGCAGTGGCATGCTTCGATGCCCCTCTCTCTCTCTCTCTCTCTCTCTCTCTCTCTCTCTCTCTTCATTCAGGCATCGGTTGCACACCACGTTGTGGCTAGTCTAATAGAAGGTGAGTAGAAGTCATACATAGAAGCAGCGAAAGTGTTTAAGTAGTTGAATAGTTCCAACGTAGCAATATCATGAGCTGAAAAAAACTGACTTATAGGCAAGTGAAGATTCAAGCTCACATGACTCTCCTACATGTGTGTAAGGATCATGTATGTCATGTGCATTTGTGTATGATTATGCATGTTTTTTGTGAGATGATGATAGCCCAATTCACTAGGACTAACATGTCTATTAAGATGTGTTGGGCATGCTATAACAAATCTTAGGGAGAAGAATTGGTGTGAAGATCAGTGAAGAAATAGGACAAATGAAGCAAAACAACACAAATTATGTGCACCAGACAACTATCAATGATGGAAATGAACATGCCAGACAAACTAACATGGTGACCGTCTAGCTGTAGCATGGTGCACTATCATGTTGAATAGAGTATGATGCACATTGTCCCGTTGAACAGGCCAGACAGTTTGGCAAGGAGGGAAGCAAGCACCAGGCAAGTGGACTTTGGCGAGACAGTCCACAAAGAGAAGGATATGCTAGATAGTCGTACTTCATTCAGTCAACATCGTGTGATGCGGCGCTATTCAAACATGGTGAGCAGTATGGTGAGGGAAGAAATGCAAGCGTTGACAAAAAAAAGACGTCAGTTGGATCTATAATGACTATTTGATTAGCTTTTGGGACTGATACGAAAATCCGTCTGAGAGTCTTTTTTCCTAGCACTAGACTGTTTGCCAATACATTTTCAAACAGAGTTTGGCTAACGGCTAAGAGAGACGGAGTAACTATATATACCTCATCTCACTGGTCATTGAGGGTGTTGGAGATGGTTGAAGCCACTGCAAGACTAAGACACTCCATCCACCCACTCAAGTGATTACTGATTAAATCCAAGGCTAGTATAAGCCCCTTCGTTCATCTCTGTGAGGGTTAAGTGTAAGAGCTTGAGAGCTTAAGTTTCGGGCCGTTGTGCCCTTATAATTTTGGTGAGCAAGAGCACTTAAGGTTTTGACGACCTTCGGAACGTGGACCCTCTAAGTTTGATGTGGATGGATAATATGGTGACTTGGTGTGCGGGGACGAGGAGACTCCTTCCTAGGTGGAAAAGCTCTGTTGAAAATAACTTGGTGACCAAGAGGGTCATGTGATAAGTGGTGAGCCTTCGTGGTTTTGCAGCACTTATTTTGGTTAGCGATGACCTTTTGTGGATTGCCTAACACCGTGACTTGGCAAGACTTTAGGCCCCGTTGGCAAGGCTTCTTCACTAGGAGCCGTTTTGTGTCAAACGGGATAAAACAAAACGGCTTCATTCAGGAAGCCTCTTAAATCGTGCTCTCACATATGTTTTAGATGTAATGGAGCTGTTTTAAGGAACTCTATATATGGAGCTGTTTTGCCAAACGATTACCAAAACGGCTCTAACTCCACCGATGGAGTTGTTCTGGAGCTGAAGCCCCAAACACCGACTTCACTAGTGAAGTGGAGTCGTAGCCGTACCAAACGGGGCCTTATTGACCAGAAGCATTGTGAAGCTGTTGTGTTTTGGGTCATGTTGAGTTTAAGTTAAAGTTTTAAAGTGATCCGATGCACCCTTTGTCTAGGTCCACGTGCCCTGTAACGTGGTTGATTTGGCCTATTGTCTCACCGGGTACATCATTGGAGCATGTTCCAAAATGAAATTCGTTGCCTCACACGAAGTGACAGTGACATAGTGCTTTATCAAAAAAAAAAAAAAAAAAACACAGGAATGCAATGCGCCCATCGTTAACAGGGCCCCTAGCCCTAGGTAGTTCATGTAAATCTCTCTATATATAGGGAATAAGGTAGGAGTGGATTATGTAGATTTGAGTGTGGACACGAATATGCATAGTTTGTGACCATGCATGTAGTAGATTCTACAACTCTACGTACGTACATGTAGACATAGTTTGGCAGGGTAAAGAAAACATCGGCATAGGCTGATGCGGGTGCAGCGTGGAAGGAAAATTATGTGTACGCCCTCCTTTTCATCATCGACGGGGAATGAAGGGCCTCCGTCCATCGGCTCATGTTGCTCACATGCCACTTTATTTGAGCACCTTATAATCGTGTCAAGGGCCCTACAATTCACGACGTTGAGCACCCTGCACCCCCACACACCAAAGATCGAATCGAATTATATTGTCAAGTGGTGTTCGATGAAAAATTTCAAGAGTGAGTGAAAATCCATGAGGAAAATGAGTGCAACTCTGTGTTACACTTACGCAGGAACCTAACGCTTTCAAATCGGATGGCACGAGACAGACAAATCTCACGTCTCCTGTCAGTTTAAACACGCTACAGCTACACACAGAACGTTACAATGGCCTGGATTAAAAAGTCATTTTTAAAATAAAAAATTGAAAAAAAGAAGAAGTAAAAGCACAAAGGCATGAAGAAAAACTAAAAAAAAAGATAACACAGAATGGGGCATTCCGAGAATTGAACTCGGGACCTCTCGCACCCTAAGCGAGAATCATACCACTAGACCAAATGCCCTATGTTGTTTTCGAAGTATAGGTACTATTTATGAAAAGGAACTCGACGACGGACGGCTGGGATGATCTCTGACGGAGGCGCAGCTCACTTCCATTTCACCCCCCTGCTTCCTCCTGTGTCTGACCTCTCTCCCCTGCTGGGCCTCTGCTCCCAGTCCCATTCCATGGAGCCCGACGCCGCCCAAAACCCTAGCCCTAGCCCTAGCCCCTAGCCCCGTCCCGCCGCCCATCTCCGCCTACTACCAGACGCGCGCGGAGCACCACGCCGTCGTCTCCAGCGACTGGCTCGCCCACGCCGCCGCCGCCGCCGCCGCCTTCCCGGGCGCCGATGCGGCCGCCCAGCCGCCCCGTCGTCCCCCGGGGCCGCCGCCGGCGTTATCGAGGAGTTCAACTTCTGGCGCCGCAAGCCTGAGGCCGCGGAGGCGGTGGCCGCCATCATGGCGCTCGCCGCCGTCATCCGCTCCAGCAGGGCCACCACCATGATGGAGCTCGAGATCGAGCTCAAGAAGGCATCTGATAAGCTCAAGGTTGATAGCCCGGACGATTTCACCTGCTCGGCTGCTCCGTCGTTCCCGGTTGCTGTGGTGTTAGTGTATATTCTTTGGTGATTAGCATGATTCCCTGAGCTGTTTTCTTTGTGCTGATGGCTTATCTGTTATTGAACGCTGTCTGTGGTCATGTTAAGCAGGATAGTAAATCGAAATTCCGTTTGCATAAAAATTGTTCAGACCATAATCACCAATTCTGCGCTAGTTTTTTAGTGGCACAGTCTCACCTTTATTACCATGCTCTGAATGACTTATTTTGTATAGTTGATTCAATGACAGTCTGGAAAGCCAAACGTTTGATTGTTATAATCATTGTAATACACAGAACCCCGTATATTACGCCGTATACTCGTGATTCCTGACCCCAGCTGCCCAGCATGAGAAGCTTAGTTGTGTGCACATCCATTCCTGAACCGTAATGTCACCACTTGTTTTTTTGCACCTTCTTCCCTAATATCTTCTACCAACATGTTTTTATCATAATTCTTGGAGATTTGATTTATTCTTGTGAATGACATATCATTCATTGTGCTGCTCCTGGTTCTAGATTTAATTTCGTTTGTACTTTCTAACTATGGGAATTGGCACTAAAAAATGCCTATGTATTTCAGTCCTGGGACGCTACATCCATTTCTCTTTCTGCTGCTTGTGATTTGTTCATGCGGTTTGTAACGAGGACCTCACATCTGGAGCATGAGAAGTTTGATGCAGCAAAATCACGCCTAATTGAGCGAGGAGAAAAATTTGGAGAGATATCTTTAAAGGTTATCCGCATATCCAAAACCTCCTGATTCTTATCTAGTTTCTGTACACGAATTTATGCCTTCTGTACTAATGCTTCGGGGGTGGTGTTTTTTCAGGCTCGCAAGACAATTGCAATGCTTAGCCAGGATTTCATTCACGATGGGTGTACTATACTTGTCCATGGGTATTCCAGGGTAGTATTGGAAGTTCTAAAGCTTGCTGCATCAAATCGCAAGCTCTTCCGTGTACTATGCACAGGTATAGTGATTTAGTTGCAAGATGTACACAGATAGCTTGACGATGGCATACACATACATAGCATCTAGTGCTATATTACAAAGGCGTCGCCTAGGCATCTGGGCGGACCCAACTCTAATTAGGACCTAGTTACACTTGTCACCTAGGCGATGAGGCGTACCCAACTCACCTTGGGTCACCTGTCACCTTTGAAACCATGATTGCATGAAAGTGCATCAAAATGGTTGAAACTAAATTTCTTTTTGTATTTTTAGGTATATTGTTATCATTAGCTGATGTGTAGTTTTCATCATGATGCATATCACTCTGAAAGTCTAAAATTTTTACGTCAAGTTTTAGTATCCCATGTTTTTCTAGTTGCTTCCCACATTGTTATAGCTGTTACATATAGGCAGATGCCTGTGTGTTACTGCTGATCTTCATAGGACTTAGGAGTTCCATGCTACTTGAATAGGGGATTGAACTTTATGCACCCTGAATTAATATATGAAGAGAGGAAGAGTCCTTTATAATGCAACTGTTAAGGAAGGCCTGTGTCATCTATAATCAGTTTTGATTCGTGATTTTTACATTTTACGTTCTGGCTTAATGCTGTTCTGGCTTCTGGGAGCAATAGGAAGCATACATGCATCCATCTATTACTCCATTAGTACGTGCTGATAACATGTTATAAACCCTAATAATTGTAATGTCTGTTTATCATTTTATTGAACTGCAGAGGGCAGGCCAGACAGAACTGGTTTAAGAATGTCAAATGAACTTGCAGCATTAGGCATCCCTGTTAAGGTTCTAATTGATTCAGCTGTTGCTTATTCCATGGATGAAGTTGACATGGTATTTGTTGGTGCTGATGGGGTTGTTGAGAGTGGAGGAATAATTAATATGATGGGCACTTATCAGATAGCTCTTGTGGCTCATAGTATGAACAAACCTGTTTATGTGGCAGCTGAAAGTTACAAGGTAATGTATGCTATGATAATGTACTTCAAAATATATTGACATTTTCATTCATGTTATTGCTTGCATCATTACTTTTGGAATTTAATGAATTTGGTAGTGAGATGCAAAGTTTCACTTATGGTATTGCTTTGTATCATTACTTCACCCATGTAGTTAGATAATATATTAACATCCATTATTACTTTTGGAATGCAATGAGTAAATTAGTGAGATACAAAGTTTTTTTTCTTGAATATTCCATTCCAAATTATAAGACGTTTTGGCTTTTCAAGATACGTAGCTTTTGCTATGCACTTAGATGTACACTAGATACATAGTAAAAGTAATGTATATCTAGAAAAGCCGAAACGTCTTATAATTTGAAGGGAGTACATGTTATTGCTATGAACCCTAGTTCATATCAGGGATAGGGAGGATAACCATTGCCAAGAGGAAGGCCGGGCAAAGTCGGCATGGAGGGAGACTAGAATATTTGGGGGTAACTAGATTGTTTGTTGTTCATTGCTTGATTCAATCTCAACTGGCTACAGGGTATAAATAGTGGAGCTCAGCCCCTAGACGCCCAGCCCTGGCTCCTTGTTTCTCTCCCCAACATTAACTCAAATCTGTCATTAACTCTAATCTATTCCCCAGACTCTAATTGCCATTGATTACAGCCGGCACCCCCTAGGATACCGTCCTGGCTGCATGCAGCTGGTCCCCGGCTGCCCCACATGACAGTTATGAAATCTGTTAGAGAATGTTTATAACCTTTAAGATTATTTTTAGTTATTAGCTTATTACATTTTGTGTTGATGTTGGAAGTTAAAACCTTTTAACTATTATGATATTAAAGCGGTCTATTTTGATTGTCAAGTTGTCATTTTAACATGATGTTGTCGCATGCAATTATCCTCTGATAATGTTGCCTATGTCTTTTTACTTTTGTAGTTTGCTCGGCTATATCCCTTGGATCAAAAGGACATGACGCCAGCTCACCGACCAATAGATTTTGGAGTCCCAGTACCCACTGGTGTGGAAGTGGAGACATCTGCAAGAGACTACACACCTCCCCAATATCTCACACTTCTCCTGACCGATCTTGGTGTTCTAACACCATCTGTTGTTAGTGATGAGCTCATCCAATTGTATCTATGATCTTTGCTGCGGATGCTGTTGTTTCAATGGCATGTAACATACTGCAGTTGAATCCAGGCTTTGTCCTATCAGTTTTGACTATGATGTATGATTGCCCGTATGGTGCTGATGCGATGTTTAGACGAATTTCTCAAAACAATTATGCTGAGAGAAGTTAACAGTTTTATAGCATAAAGTACAACCAGTGATGTTTTTCAGCAATAAACCTATTTGCAGGACTTACTCTATTAAAGTTATGGATCTCTCAAACAGTAATAAAACACTTATAAGTGTAAATGTTTCTCCACAGCAGAATATGAATCCATTAGTCTTGTCTACTTGTACGCATGCTTGAAATATAATTTACATAAGCTATTAGCTGAACAGGAGAAATGTTGATAGCTTCAGCTGTCTGTTGCTTCTGATTGAATGGAGTTCGATGGATTGGAATTGGGTAAGCGACAATGTCTAATACATCGAAGATGACAAACAAGGATGGGTGGAGGTCTCGATGACAAACAAGGATGGGTGGAGGTTTTTAAGTTGCCAAATTGTGGCAGATTGGCTGTACATTATCATTAGGCTACACTACGCTGCAATCATTGAATCACAGCTATGAATTTTACACAATTGTCACCTTTGGATGGTATCTGGAACAATAGTTTACACAATTGTCACCTTTAGATGGTATCTGGAACAATAGTATACGACAGTCTAAGGTACAGATGCGCATTTCCACGTAGGGGAAGAAACCCATACTAAGTTGTGGTTGTACAAACATACTCCATAAAGCATCTCTGCGGTGAGAATGTAAACAGTAGACGGAACACTTGAGTCCTTTATTGTAGTCCACCCCCTTGTTTAGTGATTACCACCACCAGTCCAAACTAGAGAGAAAATGGAACAGTGAGTATATCAAATATGAATAACCGATATGTTGCTGCTACACCTAGACCTAGTCGGCTAATCATGTAGCATAGCAAAATAAACTAGCAGCATCAACAGTTACCTTTTATAGTTTTATGTAATTTGGTTGCAATAATGTTTTCAATTCAACACAATATGTATACAATGCAGTGTAAACTAGTACTTCATAATTCATCAGTGATCAAAGGTAAAAAAGCTAATCACCTCATCCATTAACTTCCGAAGGTTCCTAAGAATCTCACAAATGCATCCGTCTTGCTAAATCAGTTTTGTACAGGCTGTGACACTATCCATAATCGTAAGAGCAAACCTGCAGGAGTTGAGATCCAATTCAGCAACAATGGGGAAAGGAAACATTATAACCCAAAAGGCAAATTCAATTCAATTGTTTGAAAGTAAGAAATAACTAATGTGTCAAGGCAAATCAGGATCTAAGTAGTCTTGAGACATTAAGTACAAACCTGATCTCTCTTCGGAGACATCCAATAAAAAGTACAAACCTGATAAAGTGTCTTGTTTCTAGTTGCACTAGCATTATAATACAGAAATAATATCTCAATTGGCTACTCCACTACAATCTTCCTTCTATCTAAAGCAAGGCAAGTTTGGATTGTACGAAGGTTTTTGTTCCAATGCAAAACCGATCTTCTTATGCTTTAGTTAGTAAGGAAAACGACATTCAATTCGCTAATAATTTGCAGCGAAGCTTAGATGGCCCAGTATCCTTGAAGATAAGGTGGATTGCTGGACAATGATATACCTACTCCTGAACGTAATTTATGAATCACAACTGCTATGATTTTCCTGGGCCCAATTGAGATCATAACTGAAACTTCTTAATTACCACACCTAGTGTTGATAGCTGCTGTATTGTCACCTTATTTTTACCACACCCCAAACACCCAGCTGATATACCTACAGTGCAATGTTTAGCAAACCTTAGTTTCTCATTGGATCACATCTCTCAAAGAAACGAGTCTAAATTATGAATGAACGAACTTGACTGGTCTCCAGTCTCCACCATCATGGAAGCAACTTGTTGTTGTAGCAGAAGTCATGACTGCTGATACCATATTTCAAGCACAAAAGTGGCTCTTGATAGCATGTTTCCAAGACGTTGTCTCTGTCATAGATGATAACAGAATTTATAAATGCAAATAATAGAATACTATGGCATACCATAACATTAGTTGAAAATGAAATTATTATCTTTGTGTGTAATAAGGTGCAAGAAGAATAAAAAATATATAATCAAAACTATATGCAAAGTAGCGGTGAACTTGCAGAGAACAGGTAAAGCTTTATTTAGCTCTCATAAGTCATAATTTGATCCGTGGTCCACTCTATGCAACTTACAACATTTTTCTTTAATTTTTTGTTTAGAGACTAAGAGCCATTTAAATTGGGTTTCAGTCAGAGTAGATCATTTGACTTTCGTTTAGGTTTTAGGTGCTTCTTTTCTTCAAGGGAAACAAATAACAGATAAATATAGTGCTGTAAAAACTGTAGGTTCTAAAGCAGATTTAAACACATTTTTTTTTCAGAAGCTCTAACTCATCAAGTAATTAGGAGGCAATGGTCATATTTTTCTTCACAATATAATACCATGTACATATGATGCTTTCTTCGAAGTCAACAATATCTTACTTTCTGTAACAAACTTTGCATACGCAAACCATACATTCTATGGAATTTCTACAATCGATACTAACACACAATTTGACAGCACTAATCTGAGATGTCATGTTATATTGACTAAATAAAGTTGGGTTAACTATTTGATTTGATCTAGCAGTCAGAAGCAAGATAATAAAAAGGCAATGCGGCCATTAACTTTCTTTTTTACCACTGGGGCACAACATATATTGTAACTAATAGAATGCATTAAGTCAAGTAGTAGTTGTTTTACAACTCATTAAAAAAGACAGAGAAATTGAAGGTTACCTTGGTAAAAATGGGCATCTAGTTCTTTTTCGTCGTCCTTGAGATCACCCAGTTGTTGCTGTAGGCTCTGGGGAAGCAGTTTGATACCAGGACAAGACTTGATAGTAAGACGCCTCAGAGATGAGTATGCTTGAGGCCCGTTTGGTAATGACACCAGGCTTTTGCAACCATAAAGGTAGAGCTCTTCCAGCAATGCGAGCTCTCCTAAGAAAGATTCCAGTGATTTCAAGCTACTGCAGCCACTAATACTTAATGTTTGAACGGCATCCAGCTGTCCTGAAAGGGCTTGAAGATTGCTGCACCATTGAATTTCCAAAGTCTTGATGGAAGGAGGAAGATCGAGAGAACCTCTGACAAGCCATCGCAGCAGAATATGCGTAGAGATTCTAGACAAGGAAGGAAGTGAGGTTTAGTAGATGATGACAGCGAGCAACTCTAACAGTTTGCTAAACATCACTTGGCAAATCTATAGTTTTGCCAAGTCTCAAAACCAAATGCCAAGTGAAAAAAGAGGCCTTCTCCAATAGTTTGCTATTTGGGTTTGGCAAATTGAAAATTGCCTGCACTTCTTCCACATCGCCATGCTGTGTTTCTTGGGTCATCGGAATGTCGAGGTCGTCGAAACCAGCAAGATCACCATCAACTTCGTTGGCAACTCCGTTAAGAAGAATGTCACTCAGAAATCCATCCCCTTCCATATGAATGAGTTTACAAAAAATAAAACTGGCATCATCAGACCACTGATCGATCTGTACGGCAGCAGCATCCATCCCCTTCAATTATCAAGAACCACAGATCGATCTAGCAATTACCATGAAGCTAAAGATGCATAAACCTAGCGGGCAAATAAAGATCGATCTAGCATATACCTAGCGTGCACCTACAGATCGATCTAGGGTGCTTGATCGGGATAACAAAAAAGTGCAGCTCATCAGACCTAGCTGATCGGATCCTAGCAATACCCTAGCAGCCGCCGGCAGCCAACGAGAATAAAGATCGATGAAACGAGATCGAGGGAAGAACCTAACTTCTCTGCTCGCGTCGATCCTTGTCTCCTCGCGACAGCATCCGCCGGCGATCCGGCCGTCTCCTCCAACTCGCGACGAAGAAGGGCGCCGGCGGTCCGTCTACTACTCCTCGCGACGCTGCACACGCGAGATAAAGGAAGCCGCGCCTGGCTGTTCGCGCGCGCGGGACAAGCAGTGGCGTCGCCCGAATTCGCGATGGCAAGCGACCGAAGCAGGCGCAAATATGCGCGTGGAAGGGCCTAGGATGCCAAGTTCCCCAAAATACCAACTACTTTTGCCAACTCGTTGGACGCTCATTTTTTTTTTGCAAAAATTCTAGGATGCAAGTTCTTTTAGCAAACTGTTGGAGTTGCTCTTAGGAATTGGGCTGGATGCCGTGGCGTCGCTGCAGGACCCTGCAATTAATGCTGATTTGCCGTCCTCGTCGTGTGCTGCAGCGACTCCCTGCGCACTCGCCAACATCGCACTAGTAGTATCCAGCTGCTTACTTAATGCGATGGCCTCGATGGCCTCGAGCTTAGCCTGCTGCTTACTGAATGCGATGGCCTCGAGCTTAGCCTGTTCGGCACTGCCGGCCGGATCGTGGATTATTTCTGCTGACTGGTTTGGTATGAGAGGAAAATATTATTCTGATTGAAAGATATTGTTTATATGAACAGTGTCCGCGTGAGAGGGCTGGCCAGCACTAGCCAGCCAGCCGCTACAGCCGAACAGGCTGGACAGTTGTAAATATATAATATACTTACCTCCGTTTTCGTTTCCTTGTCACCGAATTTATACTGTAACAATTTTGACCATTCGTTTTTTTCTATAAAAGATTTTTAGATACATAAGTTTTCATATATATGATTCTTTATTGAACATAGTTCATTAATGTTATATACATTGAAGTATCTAAGATATTTTTAAAAGAGAAAATAGATGGTCAAATTTGTTACAATAAAAAATTAGTGATATGTAAACATAAACGGAGGGAAGTAATGACTTAAGAGATGCCGGTAGGACACTGGTGGGGACCTCTACCAAACATACCCAAGACAGTTATATATCCAGAGACTCCAGGCGTGGCTGCTCAGAAGAAGCGTGTCTGCGTCCTGTTAGATTGTTGCATTCACAAATTTCTAACTTCCTCAAGGATTCCAGGCTCTGGAACACTTCCTCTGGCCAGTGGACGAGAGCATCGCAGTCCCAAATTCGCAAATCTTCAAGCTGCACTAAACATGCCCAAAGCGCCAGAGCACTAGAGTGAGAGAAGAAAACGTTGCACCCGTGTAACGTGAGAGGGGAAGGGGATTTATTGTGATTCCGTTTCTCCTCACCATCCACCAATTGAATCAAGCTGTTGCCATCCAGCCATGCTGCTTCTCTGTCGTCATTGATCCACAAGTCCAGTTTGGACAACGACGAAGCAGTGACGATGCAGTTTGCTACCTGTACTTGCATTTGTTGGCTGCCTCCTCGGATCTTCAATTCACTTAGATTTGGTGCTTCAGGGAGGCTAGTCAACTCTGGGCACGACTCAATTACTAGCTTCTCAAGCCGAGGAAATGTCACGTCTTCTCCTAGAGTTTCTTGAACTGCCTCCCATCTCTGAAAGGTTTCCAACCTGTACAATTTTAATTCCTTCAGCGCTGGAAATGCCGAGCGCCACACAGTATTAATAACTCCGCATGGCGGCCGTGGTTCCTTAATCATTGATGCTTTAGGCAATGCAGTCAGCCTTTTGCAGTCGGATATGGACAACTTCTTAACCTGAGGAAATATTGACTCTTCCCCTTGTACCTCATTGGCCCACCATGTCTCAAAATTTGGCATGATCCTCAGTGAAAGCTCCTTCAGTTCCTTAAATGATGTGACGGGTGCATCACCACTGCACAGGGAACTAAGACTTTCCAATCCCCACAAGTTGAGAACCTGTAGAGCTCGTAACTGCCACAGTGGAGGAAGCTCCTTGAGATTCTTGCAACCCGATAGTGTAAGCTTCACCATTTGTTGCAACGTATTTATCCATGTCGGATAAGTGCCACCCCTATAGCCATATATATCTAGAACCTTCAGCCCATCATCAGGCTTGAGGGCCTTCAGCACTTTAGTATTATGTTGTTCCTCTTCCTCCTTTTCTAGAGAAGACGTCCATGTTAATGTCAACCTGGTTAGCTCTTTCTTGTTCCCAAGATCTGCTGCTTTCTCATCTGATTCTGTCACATTCTCTAGCTGCCTTAGCTCTAGTGGTCTAACTGACGAAGATCTCTCACATTACTGCAACCAGAGCCAGTACCTGCTACAAAACATGTAAGCGTCTGTAGGGAAGTGAGCTGTCCCAACTCTGAGGGCATGCTCTTTAACCCACCACATCCATGAATGTACAGGTGACGGAGGGCAGTCATATACTTCATTTCCTTTGGAAGTCGACTAAGTTCGCGGCAGTTTGAAAGGTTCAGTGTTTGCAGATTATATAAGATGCTTATTTCTTCAGGAAGTACTACGATATCACTATCCGAGAGATCAAGGTACCTCAGGTGATGCAGATACTTTGGTTTCAAGAAAGAACCTCGGTGGATCCTTAGTGCACGGATAGATCTGTACTTCAATAAATGCTTCAGATCTCCATCTGCAGATCCATTGCATATCAGTGTTTGCACAGCCATAGATCCTTTCTCTAGACAACCATTCAGAATTGTTTCTGGTCCATCAACAGATATAAATAAATGCCGAGCCGAATTTGGAAATTTCTCACTTTGACTCTGCTCTGTAACTATGGTAGCACATTCTGCTCCCATAGAAGACTGTGCAACATCATGCATAAGATCATGAATCTTGCAAGTAACTCTAGGAACCCAAATGTCATGGACTTCAAATGGGACTTCCTTCACATCTTGAAAAAATGACCTTGACACCAGGTCGATGAAGATTTGTTTACCAGTGATCTCAGGACGCACTCCATGTTGCTCTGGAAAAAAACCATTGGGCATCCATAGTTGGATTAGCTTTTCCACATCTATATCATAATCCTTGGGGAAAATAGCACAGAAAGCAAAGCATTGCCTCATGTGCGATGGCAGCCCATTGTAGCTGAGCTTGAGTATTGGTAAAATTCCAGTCTCATCTTCGCAGATGGTGCTTTTGCTTAATATAGCCCTCCATTCTTCCACATTGGTCTTGGCCATGTTCGCTTCTCTTATAATTCGTACTTTCTGGCTTCTTTTTTCAGCCGGAACCGTGTTTTTCTCTCACGACAAATCAGCTGGAACAGTGTTTTTGCTTGTTTTTTCAGCGAAGCGAACGGGGCCGAAGCAGAGAGCCCACTGCTGTAGCTGCTAAACTCGACCCAGCACATCTCTTGGCAATATCACCAACCATCTCAACAAGCTTAGCGTCCTGTTCATTTTTTGAACTAAACGCTCTTGCCATTATAATTTTCATTATGAATCTTTGCTCTAGGCTTTTGAGAATATATGCTTCAGTTGTACCCATCAATTCAGCAACAACATTATCACGAGTTGTTGTAAGCACTGCACTACCGTTGCCACCATTTTGAAGGCAGGACTTCAGCTTTCCCCACTTGTTAGCATCACGGTTCCATACATCATCCAAGACGAGAAGGTACCTCTTCCCACTTGCTACTTCCTTAAGGCTATCCAACGGTAATTTTTCACTAGTATTGATGTTGTTCTTCCCTTTTGCATTTGCTTCAGCTATACTTTTAGCCAAGGGATCAACTTCAAAGTTGTCAGAGACACATACCCAGAGTTGCAGCTGAAAGTGCTTTTGAATTTCAGGATCATTGTAGACAAGCTGAGCTAAGGTGGTCTCGCCCAGTCCCCCCATTCCAACTATGGGAAGGACCGTAAGCTGCAAATTGCTCGCTCGGTCACCAATCAATTTGTTAACAACCTCCTCCTTGTCTTTGTGTCTTGATTGACTAGCAATTTCCTTAAGGTCGATGATGTCAGATTCCGTGTGCCTCCAGCTCTTAGGCATTGGTGGCTGTGCTTGGAATCTGAATCTAAAGGCATGCATCTCTGTAATGAGGACTTCAATTGCATTGAGAATCATGCGGAGCTTGTTGCCCATCCTGTAACGGAACACAACACGGTTGTGAGTAGGGAAGAGCTTTATCACATCAAACCCAAGCTTCTTGTAGTGTCCCTTCTTCTTGGCTTCACGGCGGATTGCCTCATACTTGAACTTATCAAAGAGCCTGCTCGCTGGTTGGTTTCTCCCGGCTGATGCTGATTTGTTGTGAGAGGATCGTTCGCCTGGTAGGCCACCCTCCGGAGCGCCTCGAGCCAAGCTTTGGCCCCTTCTCTGTGGGCTGCCGCCTACTCCTCGGCGTCGGCGATGACGTCCAGGATGGCCGGCAGCTTGCGTTTGAGGGTCTCATGCTGCTCCTCCATGCCCTCCATGACGTCGTACTGGTCCAGGAGGTAGCTGGAGGCCTTGTCCTTCACCACGGACACCAGTGGCCCGACCACCATGGTGGCCATCAGCTCAACCATTGGAGCGCCTACAACTCAAAGCATAACACACGCGCTGGCTGGCAGGGTGCTGGGAAACTCGGTTGCTGGGTGGAAGAGGAGTAATGGGCTTGCAAAACTTGTTTTGAGCGAAATGGGAACAAACAAATGCGAGTAGTACTAACCTTTTCTTTATTAGCGAATCTGCTTTATGCTTTGTCTCCCCTCCCCGGCTTGCATTGGTATCTAATAACCCTTTTCTTTCAAGGTAGGCTTGCATTGGTATACTTTGAGTAAATAAAAGAAAAGAGAATAAAGGATGTGGCCCTCACAATGGGTCCAGTATAATCGTTTGTGAGCTCATGCGTCAGTCAGGGAAACAGCAGGTTGGTACTCAAGCTAGCTACTTTAGGCCCCGTTCGATTATCTCGGAACGGGCCATTCCATGCCAGGAACCATTCCGCGCTAGTACAAATTAGTGAGGGCTCGTTCGTTTCAGCTGAATCCAGGCCAGGAATAATTCCTGTTCACTGAAGCTTATTCAAATTAGATAACAAATCCAGCCTGGAGTATTTCCATGGAGTCATTCCCCTTCAAACGAACGTGGCCTGAAGGAATTGTTCAGCTAGGAATTATTCCCATGCAACCGAACGAGGCCTTAAGTTTCTGGTGCCCGAGGTTAAAAATCGTGGAGCACCAAGTCGTGGTTCCATGCTCGTCGTCAGTGACATTGTGACAAAGTTACTGCTATGATCACTCCAAGTGCTTGGATTGAGACGGCAAAGTCGAGAGGCCAGTCTGGTCGCTTTCTCTGAATCCTTGGATGCTTGCAACACACACGAGTTTTGAGTCTGAGCTTTGAAGCTAGCTAGGCGCACACTCAACAAGGAGATACTGCATGGATGAAAGCTTTGCACAAAGATGATGTATGGCAGGTGCGCCGCGATGATCGGGAGCTAAATCCCAGGTGCTTGCAGTGCACTAGTACTCTTTTCTGAGGCCTTGTTTGAATGTTGTCAGATTCACCTCAATCCACATGTGTTTGGGGTGGATTAAGGTGTAATTTAGTTCAAGTTCCACTCCAATCCACCCCAACACATATGAATTGATACCAATCCGACTACATATAAACAAGGCCTGAGTGGAAAAAAAAAAGTCTCAGTTTCTTGAACTCCTGCTCTGAAGATAATAAGGGTGGACAGCATGAATATAATTTGGATGATCTCAAGCCTCTAAAATTTGATCAAGCCTCTCTTGACCCAGTTACAACTTGGATGCCCTCAACCCTCTGGGCTTGGAGTTGGCTAGCGCACTAGCAGTAAATCCCAGTGGAGCCAACTTGGCAGCTGTCGTCACAGGTTTGTGAACACACACAACTTGGCGGCACCATTCCCGTTGTGATATCAGACTACATCCAGTTCAACAGCCTATTCGAGGCTTTCTGCGAAGCAAGCTAGTGCACCCCACTGTCACTTTTTTCTGGAAAGAGAAGTCTAGCATTAGAATTTTCAACAACTAGCAGGCTATACAGACTAAGAAATTCTTGATACGAGGTGACAAAACATCGTATTGCAGCTTTGGATGCCCTGCATATGTGCTTCGAAACATATCAAATTATAATGCTAAAAAACTAAATCATGGAAATCAATTTTTCAGAACCTCGTATTCCTATGTGCATCTGGCCTATTGATAGATCCGAACAGTTCAATGCAAGGCAAAACAATATTGGCACTATTTCAGATTCCAAAGAACTGACACGTGAGGTTACTAAATGATATATCTGCGGTGATAAATTAAATTACCAGATGTACATACTTGAAGAAATTATAATTTGGTCGCGTCTACATGGCAACTAGAGCGGAGAATCATCATTCGCTCATCAACCAAGAAACAATGGAACTAACCAACCGTGAGCCAATGCAACACCGTTTGGAGCCCAAGCCTGTAAACATGTGTTTCACCTGGACTTGCTTCCGTGCTGCTCATAACACTTCTGCGGCCAAGCTCGTTCCATCATTGCCATTGATGTTCGTGTCGTCAGCAGCACCACTATGCAAACAAATTGGTCTGTCCTCGCCATATTCTAGAAGCTTACCGAAGATCTGATCTCTTATCTAATGTTGTAGAGCTCTAAAAAAATATTATCAACTACAAATATGTAGAACATATTGAGAGCTACAACTTTAGCGTAGGTTGTTTGAAAATTAAAAAAAAATCAAAATTAGAGAACTTAAAACAAACATTTCGGCCTCTAACAATCTTAGGTAAAAAAATTATCAACTACAAAGTTGTAGATCTTACTGGAAACTACAATTTTGGTATAGACTATGTCAACATCCGAGGTCATTTGAAAAAAAAAATTAAAATCTGGTAACTTAAAACTAATATTTGAGCCTCTAAAATATCATCAATTAAAAATTTATCAACTGCAAAGTTGTAGATCGTGTCGAGCTGTACAACTTTGATATAAAGTTTGCATTCATATGACTTCATATGAAAATGTTATGTCTTTTTATATAAGAGAAAGAGACTGGCAGGCCCCACTGCCACATCAGCAAAACCACCCAGAGCAGTTTTTAAATTTAAGATGTGTATGTTGTCCGGTATTGAAATTCGAGGTGGTCTTTCAAACTCAGCAACTAGTTCAGGGGGGTGAACCGGACTTTACTCTATTTTTCACCATTGTAGTTTTACATTGTAGCTGCAGAGTTTCAATAAATGTAGCACGAATGGTAATGCATGGTAGGATGATAACTGTTGAATTACAGAATTACTCCATAGAACTGGGACTCTGATGATCAATGCCAACAGCTCTATGTAAGGAGATAATACTTTTGCTAATTGCGGACAGTTAAACAGTACCTTAAAAATGACCATATACTTCTATGTATTCTGAAAACTTAATTTACATGTTAAGAACCGAACAAGCCAAATGTTGGTAGTCAACTGTTTGTGATCTCTGGTTCAGATCAGTACAACAAAACAAAATCAACTAATTGGCATCAAGGCAAGTAAGTACATTGAAAAAGAACATGGATGCATGCAGCATGAAAAGTTGCTAAATTGTGGCTGGTTATCTGTACATATATCATTTGGACACACTAAGGATATGCACTTCACAACAAGGACAACTTTGGATGGTACCTGAGACAACAGGATGACAATGCCAGTCCAACGGATTTGCATTCCCATTCTGAAAGCCTGTACTGGCATTTAGATTGTACAAGGGACCAACATGAATCCAGCAGACCAGAGATTCGTTCGAGTGGGCAAGTTATGCTGTGGGCTGCAAATGCAGAGATGCTTTCAATCCTTGACATCAGTGACACCCTCAGATTATATTTGAAACCTTGCTTCAGCTTCAGCCAGACAGGGAGAGCTGACTACTTTGCAGATCCGCTCCTCCCCTCTTCCCTTGCGAAGAAAGAGCCTGATACAAAACGCGACACACTTGAGACAATGAGTAACTGAACAAAAATAAAATGGAGATGTTATGTTACTTGGTGTAGCTCACCTAGTTGTGGAAGCATGAGCCATGATGTTTCCTCCAATGCGCTTGATCTGTGGCCCAGCAAACATTGCAGCACCATCCACTTGAGCCACTAAGTGGTTCGTTATTACCACTGCCACTCCAAACTAGAGACAGCCAAAAAAGGACCAAAAACAATAAAAATACTATGTGCACCAAATAGGCATGAGACTCAACATGTTGTTGCTACACTTGGTTAACTAATCAAACAGCTTGCAGCAGAATCAATAGTTGTCCGGTAATTTGGTAGCAATAATGTTTGCGCGACGACCAAATGTATGTATTGCAATATATCTAACATTTCATAATTCATGAGTGATCAAAGGACAAGCTGATTACTTCATCTGCTAACTTCTGAAGGCTCCTAAGAAACTTAGCCAGATGCATCTGCCTTGCTGATAGCTCCCCTCTACCAGAGAAATCAGTTCTGTATAGGGCTGTAGCACTATCCACAACCATAAGAGCAAACCTGCAGACATAGAGCTCCACTTCAAAAACACTGGCATGGGAAACATGATAAACCAAGATTATGAGCATATGGTTGGCAAAAGAAAATGGAGTTCGATTTTTCGAGATTGTGAAATAACAAAGGCGTTGGCAATTCAGGATCAAAGTGTCTTTATGACAAGAAGTAGAAACCTGACACATGCCTTGTAAAAAAAAGACTCGACCTGCTGGGGGTGGGGGTTGCGTAAGACAGTCCCCATGTATTGCATTAAAAAGACCTTTTCACGCAGGTCGAGAAAACCTCCGAACCCCTACCCCACCCATACACAGCAGCACCGTAGCCCATGTGAGAACGACCACGACAGGGGCCGGCCCTTAGACCTGTGCTTTGGCTGGGGCAGACTAGGGGATTTTTTTAACCCTAGCCTGAAATTCGCTCCAACAGGGAGTCAAACTCAGGATCCGAGGAGTGCTACTCAGACCACCCAACCAACTCAGTTAGAGGCCCTTTCGCTGATACATGCCTTGTTACTTGCTATGTTAGCATTATAATACAAAAATGCTTTTGCATTGGCTACTTGACTAGGATCCTCCTCCTATCTAAAGCAAGTGTAACAAATATGTTCTGTAAGAGATCAGTTTGAATAGCACATAGGTCTTCTCTAATGCAAAATTGCTTATGCCATATCCTAATCATGAAAGGCTAAAAGGCTTTAGTAAGAAAAAGTGCATTTGATACTCTATTAAAATTTATCAGCAAAGCACAGATGATGCATGTACATGAACATATCATGGACGGCCAGACTCCAATATGCTCCTGAAGGTAATGCAGTTTGGGGATCACAGCTTAGTATCCTTTGCTTGTGCCCACGGGGATCATAATTGAAATTTCTTTAATTATTGATAGCCACTTACTGAACATTTGTTCCTACTTTATTATTATAGCACCTTCCAAACACCAAGTGAAACTAGGAGGCAAATGGAGTTACATACTTCCTTAAATTTCAGGTACTACATTTTTAACAATTTTCTCCTTTTCTAACTGATAGATCATATAACTCATTAG